GATCCTCTCTGTTGTACACACCTGTGTTTGTGCTGAATGTGTACAGACTTTTTCCTGGTCATTATTGCTCAATTAATACAGTATAATCACTTTGTGTAGAATTTGTACTATAGTAAGTATTCCAAGTAATCTAGAGATGACTTGAAAGTATGCAGAAGGTTGTGTATGAGTTATATGCAAATACCATGCCATCTTGCAAAGGAATTGTAAGTGGTATTTTTCCAATTTCTATTTGTTGCTATGGATTTTGATATCTGCAGGGGTGTCTGGAACTGATGCCCTCTGCATAGTGAGAAGCTACTGTGCTACAGAATCTCAGTCTTCTCTAATGGAAATCTGGGCAAGCTTTACCCCTGAGGATGCCATGGTCTTTATTACAGTGTGCCTCAAACTGATCTTTCCTCTGCTCTGAAGAGGCACTATTTCCTTGATGTAGGGGGCTTTTCTGTTCCACTAATTGCTAAATCTGAGGGCCTAATCTTGCTTGCCTTGGCCAAGCAAGCTGAAGGATGGAGGAATAAAAATTTGGAAGAAAAGATATAAAGGTAGGCATGGCACTGTCTGGAATCCCAGCAAGGAGAAGGACTGCAGGCACGGGCTGCCCTGGTCCTTGTTCCCTCCTTTCAAAGGAGATGACCCCATTTTGTGTCTCTGGGTAGCAGAAAAGCTCCAGTTTTATCAAAAACTGAGGAAGCTGTACACTGTATCCCACTTCTCTGGCTCTTTGTCACCCCAGAGAAGGACTATGACTGCCTCCTTCCATGATGTTCTGTTCGGTCCTGCTGTTCTGTGATATAAAGGTCCCTTTGGGAATTTGTTAGCTGAACTGAGCTCATTAAAGTTGAAGCCTTTTAGACATCACCTCAACAAAGAGAAACCTGTTCTATGGTAAATATTTGGTGGAAGGAATTAATTGAAAATGAATTTCTGCAGCCAGATCTTTACATCTGTTCTCACACATTTTCTTCGTTTAGGAAACCAAGGCCCGGCCTTTTCAGGAAGAAAGAAAGGGTGTCTAATCCACACAGGCTAATGACAGATGCATCCACTCTGGAAATGCCTTTGTGTACACCTGACCCTACACACCACCCTGTGGGGCAGTGAGCAGAACAGGATAAGACAAAATATGACAAAATGCTAAGGATAGAAAAGAAAAGCTGCTTTCTTGATTTCAAGGGGTTACTTAATTCCTAATCAAAACTTTGACCAAATCAATGATCTGCAGCTCAAGCATCACATAGAAAATACTGGATCTGATTCTGTTTGGAGAAGTCAGCATGAAATGTAATGAAATTCAAAATAGACAGGATACACATGCTCCAGAGGGAAGTCATTAATACCCATGAATAATGATAAAGCAAAATACCATCTGCCAGGATAATGTGGCAAGTCTTTTTAAAATTCCAATTAGCCTATAAACTAGAAACAGAGAGCAAATATGTTCTCCCTGCCATGAGAGACCATGTGCCCTCGATGTCTCCATCACTATGTATGTAAACTAAAATGTGAGTGAGAGAAACACTACCCACCTATGAATATATTTTGGACATTACATTCATTATCCTTTATGACACAGGTGCTATTCAAGTAACCACGTGGAACCTCATGTTAGCAGCTAATGAAGGCTATGTATGTATTTTTACATATATTTTAAATATGGGGTGAAAAAACTTAGACTGTTACAAACACAGTGCATCAATCTGGCTATATCAATGTTGTTAAAGTTAATCCTTACATGTATTAAGAGTCAGACATAACGAAGCATTTGTGTTGCTGTTATCCTAGGGAAAACTGCCTGGTTTATGATAGACTCAGATACCCTAGGCTGCATTTCATGAAGTACATCACTATTAAAATCATAATACCCATTATTAGAAGTGTTGCATTACAGCCTGAGAAGAAATTGCTCTGATTACAAATGTGTACAATAATTATACAGCCTGATGAGTCACCTGCATGTATCAGAAACATCAAAGTATATAGCAAGCTATTGATCACTGACCTTTTTCAGCCTCTCTTGCTTTTCCAGTGGTTTGTTGTGGTCCAAACAAGCATGGGATTAGTATATTTGGAGTATATAATCCCATCCCATCACTACTTAGCTGTATGATTTTTAGAATTTATTTGTCTCATGGGACCTTGCTTTCCTTGCCTATAAACTGTCTCTTTGCCATTACAAAAATTAACAACCGCTAAAGCCTATTGTAAGAACCCAAGAAAATATGAGAGCTTTCAAGATGTTTAAAGACTCTCCAATAAGGGGCCGGGGAGATGGCTCAGTGGAATAAGCACTTCCCTGACAAGTGCAAGGGCCTGAGTTCAATCCCCAGTTCCACCAAAAAAAAAAAAAAAAAAAAAAAGACTCTCCAATAAGTTGCTTTCATTCTATCATGACTAAAGTAGGCAGAGTTATTGGGACTGTATTAAGAAGTAGAATTATACGTTTTTATAAAGAGAACAAAATGTTCCTCCCAGACAAGTAGGCAGCCATTGTTTATCAGCAGGATTATTGTTCTCAGTGACTGGCTCCCACCTGTGGACCTCTGTTTGATCTATAGGCTTCTGGGATATGGAGAACAAGGAGCTATATCAGAAGAGGGTGCTGTGTTCCAAATAATAATACAACTTCCAATATTTATGAGTTGAAAATAAGGTAAATTGCATCATTTAAAAAAAATCCTAATCCATGGCTTCAGATGCTTCAGAAATTGAAGCCCATATACTCTCACACTCACCCCAACACATCTCCTCAGATCTTGTCTTGAAGATTATGATTCCTGAGCAACACAGGGTAAGGGACAGCAGGAAGCTACAGAGAATCTGCAAAGCCAGCAATTCAAGTGTAGACAGGAACTTACTCTGCAGTCATACAAGAAGGATTGAACTTGACACCAGTTTATTTTTGTGCACCATTGGGCCTAGCAACTTTGTGGGAATCAATTGAAACAAAATACTGCTATCTGTGCACACGGAGGTACTGCAAGGGTGTACCGTTAGTCATTTTTTTTTTTTTTTTGGGAAACCAGGGTTTGAACTCAGGCCCTTGCACTTGCCAGGGAAGTGCTTATTCCACTGAGCCATCTCCCTGGCCCCCGTGAGTCATTCTTATAGTAAATATTTAGAAATTATAAATCTATTTTACAGGAATGTGACCACATAAATTATTGTACAGTTTCATGGGTACCATAATGCTGATTTTAAAATATGTAGACCTATCTATATATACTTCTCACAGAATTTCTAAACTGTAGTATTAAAAAGAAAAAGCTATATGATCTGTGGGTGATGTATCAATACAGGCTCAGCAGTTAACAAAGGTACCATTCTGATAAGGAATGTTGAGGATGGAGGATGCTAGGCAGGAGTATGGCAGGGGGCATATGGAAAACTTCTAACTTCTACTCAACAAGAAATAACTGAAAGATAAAACAGATGTTTGCATTTTAACAAAACTTATTCCAGTAAGAGACAAATTGCAAAGATCCATTGTAGAAGTGCGTTTGGGACTATTTTGAGTATTCTGGTGAGTCAGGGAGACTAAAGACAGTGGACTCTCTTACTCTCACAATGACATTATCAGAGAATAAAGACCTTTGGTACTTAAAATTTTTTAATTTAATATTCATTGTATTTTATGATTGCTCTTCAATCCAATGTTTATAGCAATTGCTGTTAAATAAAAAATTATGGCACATCTTCATCCATTTTATTCATCAGATCTGGCCCTATGCAACTTCTGGCTTGTCCCTCAAATCAAATGACCATGAAAGGTAAACATTTTTTAATCAGTTCAGGACATCGAGGCAGCCACAATAATGCAAGCAAAGATATTCATGAAAGAGTACTTCCAGGGTTGGGCGAGAGGGCTCAGTGGACTAAAGTGTCTGCTTAGGCAAGCTTAGGCAAGTGCAGGGACGGGGCTCAATCCCCAGCACCACATGCATGCCAGCCATGCCCCCAGGGTGGGCTGAGCCAGCCACAGAGTGGTGCACGGCTGTAATCCCTGCACTGGGGAGGTGGCCAGAGCGATGGGATGTGTGTTCAAGCAAGGGGGACTATTCTAAGGGCGATTAATGACAACATGTCTTTAAATGTAATGGACTCTTTTACAAATTTAAACATTTACTATATTTTTTAAAATCATGTCTCATATTCTTCTTGCGAACCTGAAACTGTTTAAAAATATTTTTAATTAAAATTAAAAAATAGGGCTGGTCAGATAGCTCAGCAAATTAAAGCACCTGCTTAGGTAGACGCAGGGACTGGGGTACAATCCCTGGCATACTGTGCTGGCCCCACGCCCAGTGTGCACTGAGATGGCGACTGAGACTGGGCGTGGTGTTGCACATCTGTAATCCCAGTGCTTGGGAGGTTGAAAACAGGAGAATCACCACGAGCCTGACCTGTGCAGTGAGATCCTGTAGACTCTGTACTATATACATTAAAAAATAAAATTGTTTTGTCTATTTTTAAAAATAGCACATGTCAAAACATTTAGAGTGCAATCCTCTCTAGGAAAATGTGGACCAAAAGTACACAGACACACTCAGATGCACAGGAATAAATAAAACACACACTAAATCATGTAGTTTTGTCACTAGGAAACAACATAGGGAGAACGAAGAAGATACATTTGAGAAAAAGGATTCACTATTATACTTCAGATATTCCTACACTGTTTGAATGCTATACGGAATAAATGGGGGCCTTTCTTCCTTTTGCAGAAGACAAAAACACCAAAAAAAAAAAAAAAAAGCTAAGAACAGAGTCAAAGATGAGCTAAGTGCCAATCCCGTTTACATCAAATGCTGCATCTGAAAACTCATTCAAATAACACCTTGAACCTTAAATTCTTCATTGTTTATCAAAAGCGTAATACAGAAACTCACTGAAATGTTGCTAAGAAAACAAGCTGAACAGGATGGCTTTGGTATTTACGATTAAACTAAAAAATAAAAAAAAATTGCTGGACCCTCAGCATAACTTTAAATTACATATATATCATTTATTGAAATATAAAGATCTTCATTTACACACTTTAAAATAAAAACATGAATGGGGCGTTTGTGATACATTTCGTATGGGTAGACCCTCCCAATCTAGTTAGTTCCACTCACACACTCACCACACCTCCGTTTTGGGAACATGTAAGTATTTTTCTCTTTATTATTTCTAAAATATAAATTTTGGACATTCAAAAGTGCAACAGTTAATGTGCCTGTGGGGAATATCACAGTTAAAAAAATATAAACAAAGGCAGTGATACAGCTTGTCATAAAGGTTTTGGCAGTATTCTCCAAGTCTATATAGAAATACATATATACATATTGATGTATAACATCATTTTATCTCACGTCCCTCTTCACAAAAATAGGACCGTTTTGTACATACAGATTGGCAAACCACATTTTAAGGATATCACTGATCATTTAAACAGCCACAAATTGTGTTTCTTGGGTCAGCTTTGATTGTCATCATGAAAATAGAGTGAGAAGGATTAACAAATTTTCTTCTGGGGACTTTACAAGAGGCCAAAAAAGAAATAAGTCTGGACAACACAGCTTTAAAAATGCAATCCCGCATCATTTCAGGTGGGAGCACTGGTAGGAACTGGAAAACACCCAACTGAGAACCTTCCTCCAGTCTCACCATGTCATGCGAGACTCAAGGTAGCATCAGAAGGCAAAGCACCAGCAAAAGAAGGCTACACGGAGAGTGAGTGATAAACAGAACGCTTGAGCTGTGATTCCAGAAACACAAATGTGCTTCACATCTACTTGGCTCTATGGAACCAAGTCAGGTTTTCATTTTTAATTGGCCGATCCGGATCAGTCTTCACACTTGCTATGGAAAAGGAGGACAAGAAAGTTGAGGCTTGCATTGAGATTCCGCTGGTAGGTACTCAAGTACCTTGTTATTGCTTCTACATCTTCCAAAGCGTCACCTGCTGGAAGCACATCAGTGATTGCAGTAATCACAGCCCATGTTTCATTCATACGGTGTCAGCAATTAAGCATATTTCAGAGAATGCCAATGAACCCACACTAACCAGCTTCACAGTTTGGATGGATGTAACAATCCATCCTCCCACCTACGCCCAAAATATCAGGAAAACTTTTCAATCTTTTACACCAAAACATTGGCCTGGCTAGTCAGAAGCTCTGTATGTGGAGTTTGATAATTTTGCACATATTTTTCCTGGGGGAAGACAAGTTTAAGTCCCCCATACATTAGGAAGCAGCATCCTTACTTTGTCTTGAGTTTCGGAAGATGTGACAAAAACCAAAATCTAGCTTTCTCAGGCTCAGCTAAGACTGGAAAGCTAAATTAAAGTCAGCAAATACTGTACGTATGGTATTAAATGTCACTGACCTGAAGCCAAGGACTTTAATAGTTGGCTTCTCACATGGCTGACTTCTATCTAGCCCAGATCCAAATTTCAAATTTTTTTTGCTTCTCCCCATGGCAGCCTCCTGTAACCTAAGCCAGTGTTTCTAAAATTGGCTGATCCAAATAGCCTGCGTGTTTATAAACAACATAGGTCCCTCCTTCCATCAGACTTAATAATGCAGAATTTTTGGATTCTGAAGAATCTAGTGGATCCCACTGCCAGTCCCGTATGGGAACTTAAGAGCCAGGCTGATTTACACAAGGTTCATGAAAAACCCCTTTGTGATCTCAGGGTTTCAAGCGCCTTCCCTTTAGTGTAAGAGATAAAAGAAAGGAGCTGAGATTAGGGTAGCCTCCTGGCTCTTGAGGTTCACAGATTTAAAAAGATATGTTGGGATCCAAAGTTATCATTAGTCATGATGGAAACCTCTGTAAATCCTATTGTGATTTCCACTGGGTCACAGCAGAAGTCACGTGGGCCACAGGATTTTGCCTTTATATCGAGAGCATTTAGGAATCGGGGGTTTATTTCTAATCCCATTATTTGAGAGGTCATTAACTGTTTTTAGTAGAACGGATTAGGGAACCTATTCAGTACATAATTAAAAACTCTGACTTCCTGGACAACACTACTTATATTTTGCTCTCTATGTTTACTAAATTTAATCCACTATAGCTATTATCATGTTTAATAAAGAAACAAATGTTATTTAAGGTAAATGTCAAAAATGGTAAAACTTGCCATCTACTTAGTAAAGGGTGTTTTTTTTTTAAATTGTGCTTTCACTGTAGGGAAATCATGTTACATATTACTCATTTAGCATTACTGATAACAGTAGTATTATTATAAATATCGATTACAATATGAAAATGAGTTGTTGGGCAGCTAAAGGACCCAAATCTAGTAAACAAAGTTGGTTAATTGTTATCTTTTAACTCTTTAACACTAAGAAAAAAATATAAATGCAATAGTACCAGTACCTTTTAAGGTTCAAAAGTGGTTTTGCATGTACTTCGTAAGAAAATTCAACAGCAGCTGACACCAGGTTCCAAGAGAGAAGTACATGGATGGATTGAGTGGTCTCTTCACAAGTCCAGAGAAGACAGTTAATAAAAGTCTGAATGCATCCTTGGTTAGAGTTATTTACATAATTACAATGCTGGGGTTTTGCTGCAGTACAAATTGTGTATGTGGAAATCCCACCAAAGCCCTTGAAACACAAAGCTCATTTTCTGTGGCCTATTATTCCCTGTCCATCTATTTCCAAACTTCACAGGCCGCTGAGATGCTACTGAAGCATTGCAAGAGGCAATGCTGAAAAAGTTCGTTTCAAAAATCCCACTCATTCATATTCAGAAGGCTCCCCAGGCCCATGGCTGGGAAGTCCTCTTCACCCATCATCCAAGTCTCAACCTTTGCATTGCAAGAAAGTGGTTTTCTTAAAGGGACCCGCAGGTAGCTCCTGGAGTAGAAGGTGCCCACTGGATCTGTCAGTTACAGGAAGCTGTCCTCCACCAGATCCGAGGAGTCAATTCCAATGTCATCCATCATATCAATGTCCTCAATGGTCTCATCCTCCCTCTTGATGAAGGTAGAACTGCTGGAACCTGTCTCAATGGCACTTTCCTCAGAGGTCTGTGAGCTGTTCAAAGGAGACAAAAGGAAAGTTAAGATTCACAGACAGATCAGCTACACCATGGTGCCTTTCCAGGCAGTTGCCCAAGGCGAACACTTCCCACCACAGATGGTTTTATCAGTCAACCCTGAGCCCTCTAGAGTGGCAGGTCTGTCACTGAGACCACAGCTGCTCATCAGCCTTGCTGCATAAGCTACCTGGACAACCCCTCATCTTTCCTTCCTTCCTACCAAGCTTTTCACCCACTCCCTTCGCATGCTGTACCAATTTCTACTTTTCCTACTCATAGAAGAGAGCATCAGCAATGCCTGCTCAAAAGGCACAGAGAAGGAAATGTAAAAACTTAAATCAGCTCCACACTGCAGCCACACCCCTTGTTCTCCCAAGGATCTCCTGAGAGCCAGACTGTTCTCTGAGCCTTGAAGGTCCAAGTGAAGGTTCTTTATTTTTTACTGAGAAGAGGAGTTCGTGACAAGACATGATTGGGTCTGGAATGGACTTCACACAAGCTATTTAACTCCTCAGACTTGAATTTATTTCCTTGCCTATGATAATGCTTAGAGATATACCTGTTGGGATAATTAAATAAGGTAACAACTATAAAGTACCTAATAAATGCCCCATAACACATAATAAGTGCTCAATGAATGTTAGCAACTATTGTTATTCAAACAAATATCTCAATTTGAATAAAGCCTGGATACTAGCTTATATCAGAAAATAGAGGGGAGGGCTGCTCTTGTTGTTCTGAGTTCTTCTGAGAGAAGGATTTGGTTTGTAGTCCAGGTTGACTATGCCCTAGGCTGGCCTTGAATGCAGAGTCTTCCTGGCTCAGCCTTCGGCGTGTGGCGAGTATAAGCACATGTCATCATGCCAAGCTAGTTATTAATTTTCTTATGCATGATTGTGATGTTGTGGTCATATAGGAGAGAAATTACATTTTTAGGAAATCTATACTGAAATATAAGGGGTAAAGTGTCTTAGTGTCTATTACTTACTTCCAAATGACAAGAAACAAAACACAAGTTTCGGTGTGATATATGCAACACCCATTACATAGATATAGCCAGATAAAGCTCTCAGAAATGTGGTAAAATGCTAGCAACTGTTAACTGTGAGTGGTAGGTGTATTCTCATAGTATTCCTGTACATTTAAAATTTTTCACAAGAGTTTTCCAGAAAACAATCTTCCCTAAAATTCAGCCTGTCATGATTCCCCGTCTGCCCTCCCTGCTGTAACTCTTGCCATCTTCCTTAACTTATCTTGTATCGCTCTCTGCTTTTATGTATATTTTTGTTCCACCCTGGATATGACCTGCTGGTAGACAGGACCATGGTTTACTCTCATCATGAGACTGCTGCACCATGCTGTTTGCATAGTTTAGAGACCACAAAGAGAGGTTGACCAGCCAGAGGAAGGAATGAGAGACAGAGACAGAGATTGAGAGAGACATAAGACTCTCACCTTACAGCTCTTCCCGTCTTCCTGGCTGGCTTACTCTTACTCTTTGGTCTCTATCCACCCCAGGCAGGGAATGGAGCCTGGCCAACTGAAGCCTACAGGAAACAGTCTTTTGCCAACACCTCCAGCTGAAGGACTCCTCAGCTGCACTGTCCCTTTGTACTCCATGGCTGGGGTCTTCCCTATACCTAAGACCTCACCGCAGCTCCTAGTGAGCTGGCATCTCATTTAGAACCCCAGTCCATGAGGCTAGTCTTGATGACTTCCTGGCCCTGATGCCCTCTCTCTAGGACACTTTCCTAGAGACTGGGTACCAACTGAGGACCTGAGCCAATCCTTGGGTACTGATCCTAAGTCAATCTTGAGTGCATATCTATGGTCCTACTAGAGGAATACCATGGTAGGGACTGTTGGCTCCTTCCTTAGGGACAACTGACAGGTAGGTCAGGCCCCCAGCTCTGGCCCTCTTAGCCTGGCATACTCATCTCTCTGCTGGTCTGTCTCACAGGCATTGGCAGGACTGTGGGGACAGAGGAAACTCATTTCCACTGAGACAGGACCAGATCACTTCCCTTTTTGTCAGTGTCACAGCTGACAACCTGGTTTGCAACTGGTTCCCAAGCCACAGAGCCATCTGGTAGCTCAGAACCTGGATCGCCCAGGGCTCAGACATGGAACTCCTGAGCCCTCTACAGTAGGACCTTGTCTCAATCCACTGAGGCCATCAGCTGAGCCCTAGGAGAAGGCTAATGACTTCCCAGCTGACAACTGCCTGTATAAACCCAAGACTCCAGCTCTGAGTACACGCATGCATGCAAGCATGCAGGTACACAGGCAGGCATGGGCAGTCCTCTTCACTGCAAGCTACAATGCCCTGAACAAAGACAGAAGAGACAGAACCAACATGCAACATGGATCTTAGCAAGCTTCCCTCACCCCCACCTTTTCTCTCAACTTTATCCTCCCTTGGACTATTCCAGCTGACTCAGGTCAAAGGTTTCCCACCAGGGAAGCCTGAGCCCCCTACCCTGCCCCAGCCCCAGGAGTCACAGGGCATAGAGTCTCATCTGAGAGGAGACTTGAAGCTGCAAAGTTCCCATAGTACAGTTCACCACCCAGGAAAGCCTCCCTCTGGCAGCCACAAGGAGGAGTGGGTGGCAGCTAGAGGTGGCAACCCACATCTACCTGTGCCTGTTCCTCTTTCCCAGGTCTTCCTCCTCAGGCACAGGGTCAATGTCAGGCAGAGGAATGATATAGCCACTGTCGGCGCTCAGTCTCTGCTCATCCAGGCCACCCTCCCAGTCTTTCAGCTTGTCTTCCTCATTTTTGTAGAAAACACCGATATACGTGTTGTCTGAGTCCACACGCATGCGTGCCACGGCAGGATGGTCACTCTTTAGGAAGTCCAGGTGGATTTTCTCATAACTCTGTAAGTATTCATTTAATATATTTACTGAGTGGGCTATAAAAATGAACACAGGTATTCAGAAATCACAATGAAGTCAGGCATGGTAGCAGATGCCTTGTAATCCCAGAACTTGGGAGGCCTTGAGTTCAAGGCCAGTCTAGGCTACACAGTGAGTCTAAGGCTACTCTGAATTACATAGAGAAACCCTGTCTCAAACAAACCCCTAAAACAGAAATCAGGATGACTTAACTCTATGTGTTTGCAAGTGACCTCAGAGACAGGTAGGGTTTAAACAATTCATTCAGTCCTATGTCAGCCATCCCCAGAGGTGGGGACATGAAAGAAGGCCCACCAATGGCAGAGACCTGCCAGTAGGTCTTCAGATACCAGGAGGCCTTTGCCAAGACTGTAGTTTTAACCATGTGCCTGCCCCTCCCCCTGCCCTAGGACTAGCATTGAGCCTCTGGCTCCATTACATGCAGCCTCCAGGGCCCTCACAGGTCCCTATAGGAGGAGGTAAAGACTTCAATGGGAACATAATTCCCAACCCGTTCTTGATTTCTACATGTCAGGAAAGTCCAACCTTCCTATCAACACTGTACTCAGCAACAGTTCTAATCTCTCCCCACTAATCAGAGCTCACAGACCAGCATAAGGTTAATTTCTTCCCACTCCATTCCTGTGTGTCTCTGGGGCCGCTGAGCTCATCAACAAACAGCAAACTAAAGTGTTTAATGTCTAGTTTAACTTATGGGAGATTCCAGCGCAGCCTCCTGCTGCTGCTACTGCTCCTCCTCCTCCTCCTGGAGAAGAGGAAAGACAAGCAGTAAAATGCAAAGCCCCACACACTGACTAATCCCAATCTAAGCAGCGGGATCTATTATACAAGTTCCCCTCAGTTTCCTTCCCGAGCTTTCAGCAGAAAGTTGTTTTGTTCATTTCTCTCTCCTGCCTGGCTCCATGAAATTACATTTGTTCCTTTAACAATGCTTCCTACACCACGGAAAACCAGCTGGAGCCACAGATAACAGCTGAGGCTGTCCCTTCTGGACAGCAGGTAAAAGCCAATTTCACATGGATTTAAACACATTCAAATTAGTGATTTAATGGCTATGGATGTCCTGAGACTTCTAACTGCGCAGCAGATACACAGACATCTGGAGGATAAAGTGCCTACAGGTGTCGAACACACAAAAAGAAAGGGGAGCCCCGCGGGAAGAAGAGGGTTTTCATTCACCACTGCTACCAGGGACCCATGGAGCCTGGCCACAGAATCTATATCGTGCTTTGAAAATGCTCCTTTCAAACATGCTGAATAGACAGCACTGCCCCTGGGCACAACTACCAGCTCTCCTCCCTCTGGCCACCACTCTAAGAAGCCCAGACAAACCTTTTTATACTGTCCCGGCAGCAGGTTCTCCACTATCTCACTGAGGTGGTAAAAGGAAGGTCTCTTCTCTGGCTCACTGTTCCAGCACTGCATCATGATGTCATAGCTAGAAAGGCACAGAGTTCAGAGTGGGCACAAGGACAGTCTGCAGGGGTCCCACCCCAGAGACCCACAGGACAGAGACTTGGGCCCATGGATGGGGTGAGAGCTTACACTTCGCTGGTGGCGTGGTCAGGCTTGGCCATCCGGTACCCACTCTTGATCTTGTTGTAGAAAGTAGAGTCCACCATCATGCCAGGGTAGGGTGTGCCACCTAAGAGCACAGAAGACAAGCAGTGTGACAAAGGCACCACACACTGCTGGGACACTCAGAGTAACAGACATGGTAGGCAATGTCTACTATCCTGAAGTCTTGACAGCTTGGTTTGGTCAAGGAAATTGCTACCTTTTCCTTCACCTCAAAGGTCTACTCAAATCTTACATTTAACCAAAACTTTAGGCTGGTCAAGTCCAAGCACCGGATATAAAAATTTTGCATCTTTAAAACAAAGTACTAAACTATTTTTCGGTGTTTCTGACTACTAGATCTACACATACAAGCAAGCTGGAAAAACCAGAAGTTAGAATCGAGGGCAGGAAAATCATGTGATGTTCAAAGTGATTACAGCAAAAGTCAATGTTGGGGCTTAAATTATTTAGAAATTCTCTGTTTTTCAAGGAGTATGAAACCTGATAATCCCCAACTGGGACGATGCAGGGTGACCCTCCTAGAATAGGGAAGTAGGAGAGACAAAGGAGACTAGGGAGGGAAGACACACTTTATTTTCTTCAAGATAACAGATACACCCATGAAATGGTTCATAATTTTATAGCTGAAGGCAGGTCATGTTGAACTTTCTCTCTGACCGCTTCCAAAGCTCATCAGGGCTCCTTTCCCCTGTCTCAGACTTATATTGCAATTTTAAGTCAGCACCACATGGCTTACTTCTAAGGGTTAAGTCTTTTCCTCCCTACTAGAACCTTGCAAGTCAGGGTCCTATCTGGCCCTTCTCTTAGGGCCTCCCCTGGCCATCCAAATGCCTAGAAGTTTCTCTCCTCCACAATGATGACCAGGAAGGGAAGTCACAACCCTTTTCCTCATCACACTGCCATCACCCATCCTCACCGGGTGTGGCGAGGAAGGTCCACTGGAAACCATCTAACCTAAAGGTCAAAATGAAAAGGCATCCAGGTGGCAGATTCCTCAGGGCACCTCTAGAGGAAGAGAATCACTCAGGCATGGCCCAGAAGAGGTGCAACAGAGATGCAGGGGCAGGGCTGGTGTGCATCCTCCCACACCCTCTGTCTGTCTGCACAGCCCTGCAGCAGACATAGCGAAGGCCAGTGCGTGGGGCCACGCTGCTGCAGTTTGCCTGGCCACACAGTCCAACAGAGCTCGTTTCCCTTCTAGGCTGTTCTAGGACTTCCCAAAGAGGCAGAGAGGCGAGGCCCATACCAAGAGAAAAGATCTCCCACAGCAGAATGCCGTAAGACCAGACGTCACTTAGGGTGGTGTAGAGGTTGTCGAAGATGCTCTCAGGAGCCATCCACTTCACAGGCAAGAATGTCTGCAGGGAAGGAGCGAGGGGATTAACCACTAGCCAATGCAAGGACGATGTGCAGCAGTGGATATGGGCAGGGGTCCTCCCTCGGCTAAGAATAACTTGCACTAATGATCTTGCTCCACAGAGCGTATTTTGGGTGCATTCTGCTCACTGTCACACTCTCAGTACGTAGTGACTATTTTTTTCTTTCCCCTAGAACTGAGATTAAACCCAGGGACTTTGCACTGAGTTACATCTTAAGCCCATTTTCATTTTTTATTCTTAGACAAGGACCCACTAAGTTGCTAAGCTACATAGGCTGGGTTCAAACTTAGCAGCCTCTTGCCTCAGCCTCCCAGAGAGCCAGAACTACAGGCCCAGCAACCCAGAGGTTCCTAACACTGATAAATGAGAAATGGTTTAGGCTTCTTAGCTCCTCCAAAGGAATGATTCCCCAAAATACTTAATACTGAACTGTTACCTGTGGACTATAATAAAGCCCTGAACAGATCTTTTCCCTTTTCAGGGATTGCTAATCAGAAAATTAAGAATAGATCCAGTGACCTGTGAGGCAATAGCAAAGATGGGACTTTAAGAAACAAGCAGCAATTTCCTACCACTAGAGCCTCTTTTGTGAAACTGGTCCAAACTCTGGTGAAATACTAAATTGAAACAGATATGTGAAAAGGCCACACTAGCATTGCTCCGCACCCCAGGACTGCTGGAGAAACGACGAGAGATCCATGACTTGATGCAGTCAGGGTAGAAATCAACTCCATCGAAATTCAGTGAGGAGTTGAAGGTGCCTAGGAATCAGCCTGGCTATGGGTCAAGGTGACACACAGCATGGACACAGGCCTGGGCCCCTCACTAGGTAGATGCGGGAACCCCAAGAGCCATCTCACAACCCATGCAATGGAGTGCTCTGGAATTGTACCTTCAGGTGGTAGATGTACCCAAATGCACTTCATCTGCTTACAAGGGAGGAGCAAAGAGGATGGGTCAAATAACTTTATTTTTATTTATTTTTTATTTATTTATTCATTTATTTGTGGTGCCAGGGATTGAACTAAGGACCTTGTGCTTGCTAGGCAAGTGCTTATTCTACTGAGCTATCTCCCTGGCTCCCAAAGGGTCAAATAGACAATACAAGGACTGTCTTTAAGGATAAACTGGGCCTCTAAGACACATTCACACAAATGGCATTAACTTTCTACTGGTCAAGTCTACCTTATGTAAATATGCTGAAAGCTTAAAAACTAGTGACTCCTGATTGGGAATGTGTGCTTGTGCACACATACACATAACTTATCTACTAATAGGTAACACTATTTGCCAGGAACTCTTCTAATACTTTGCATGAATTCCCTTATTTACTTCCCCACAGCAGCTCAGAAGATGGGCACCACTACTCCATCCCTGCTACCGAGGACACTAACTAAGGAATGACAATGACAGGGAAATTGCTCCCCAAACCTAACCCTACAGGATAAAGCAGGTATGCACACTCCAGCCATCTGTGCACAGCATGAGCTCTACCTCCTGTCCCCCACGAAGTCCCCTCATAAGTCTTGTGGGCTCTATGGTAAAAAGATGGGCCGCAAATGCAAAAAGCAACACAACTTGAGAAACTAGGAGGAGGGGGGGTATGCCAGATGGGGACACAGATACATACGCTGCCTTTGGACACGTAGTTTGAATCATGCATAATGTCTCTGGCCAGGCCGAAGTCGCAGATCTTCACGATTTTCCCTTGTGCCAGGAGGACGTTACGAGCTGCCAGGTCACGGTGGACACACTGCATGGAAAAGCAAGAAAGTCAGTCCACCTGCGACTACAGAACAGCATGCCTGCAAGATTGGCCACTCTCTGGTGGCTCTTGGAGCTGTCCAGCATGCACTAAGAACAGCCTCAAGAGCTCAGCATCAGCACACACCCAACAGACAGAAGGCTCTAGGGCCACCCAGACACTGAAGATGCCAGGCCCCCAGCCCTGCTCAGGAAAACGGCAGGAAGGTCAGTGAAGGAGATAATACTCCAAGATCTCCTTCTCAGTGTGTCCTCCCCACTTGGAAATCTGTAGTCCTGTCTCAAGAAGTCCCTACTCCTTGAACTTACGTTTTTTGAAGCCAAAAACTCCATTCCTCGGGCAACCTGGTAGGTGAAGCTCAACAAATCCAACAAAGTAAGGCCCTCAGAGCTATCATCTGAGAGGAGGTTTTTGACTTCTGAGTCTGCAAAAAAGGAAGGAAATGTGTTGGGCTGGTAGCCAGTATGACAGCTCATCCACTCTAAGACTCAGCTTGCCAAGCGTTGGCCAAAGAACACAGCTGGAGCTGTTTCTTACAATTCCTGGCCCTCCACAGTGAACAATTACCTATGTCATGGGGGCTGGGAATGGAGCTCAGGATGGAGCATGCTTCAGACCCTGGTTCAATTCCCAGCACTGCAAATAAGTAAATACTGAGATCTTTTCTCTAAAAAGCAATATACAGCTGGGTATGGTGGTACATGCCTGTAATACCAGCACTAGGGAGGCTGAGGCAGGAGGATCATTGTGAGTCAGACCAGTGTGGGCTACAAAGTGAGCTCAAGGCCAGCCTAAACTACACAGAGAGACCCTTTCTCAAAAAGACAAAAAAAAAAAAAAAATTTAAAAATAAAGCAATATATAATCTAGGTGTGGTGGCTCATGCCTGCAATCCCAGCACTTGAGAACCTGCATTTGGGAAGCTGAGGCAGGAGGACTGCTGAGAATTTCAGGCCTGGACTATATAGGGGAACCCTATTTTAAAAAAACAGAGCTGTTTTTTAAATATATATATATATATATATATATATATATATATATATATGAAAATTGAGGATTCCTCACCAAACCAAAAGAAACAAAAATCTAAAATGCTCCAAAGTCCAAAACAGTATGGACTGACATGCCACCACACATAAAGAATTCCACACCTGACCTCATGTGACCAATCAACATTTGGGTCACAAAAGCCTTTGTTTGTAAACAGGTTTGTAAACAGAAGAATTTGGCAAAATCTTGTTTTTGTTTGCAAAATGTCTTGAGTCCCACAGAAACACAAAGGTGGCCATCTTTTCTAAAATCATAGCACAAATTAAGTTCATGAGCTGAGGGATCACTGCATAGATGAACTAAAAATACCGTATAAACTTCAGACAGGCTATATTATGAAGTCCACATGCAACATTAGTGAATTTTGTGTTTAGACTTCCAGCCCAACTCCAAGACAGTTCACTATCTACTTGTGAATATTCCAGAATCTGAAAAGAACCCCAAACACTTTTGGTCCCAAATATTTTGGATGAGAACTATTCAGCATGCATGCAGGAGCACCCACCTAGGGGTTGTGTGTGTGTACATATAGCTATAAGGGCCAGTCTAAAGTGATCTCCCTAGAGGGTTCTCACATTTTTTTTGTTCATTTGCCTCTCAGATTTCTTTTTTCAACTTTAGTTAGCAACCACCATGAGCATCTTTAAATTCACACACACACACACACACACACACACACACACACACACACTCAAGTCTTCTGTAACAAATATACATGAGGACTCTGAAAAGATATTTTCTGCATTCATTCATTTGAGACCTTGTCTCAAATGAGACCCCGAACCCACTAGGTGGCCCAGGCTGGTCTCAAACTCACTGCAATCTTCCTGTTTCAGCCTTCCAAGTGCTGGATTCCAGGTGTGCACCACCACATCTGGCTTTATTTTCTTTTTAGAGCTATCTTCATGGTACCTGATTTATAATTCATCAATTAAATCAACTACCAATCAGGTGAGGGAGTGATCTTAAAGATCAGGAGGCCACTAACTTCTCTTTGCATGCAACTTGTCCATTTTTGTCCCATCTGGAAGTGTCCCAAAGTTTTCGAGGAAGAAGGCAATCTAGGCCAGCAGTTCTTGGTCCTCTCTGACAGTGTTCAGGCCAGTGAAGAGTGGTTCCAGCCATTCACATTTTCAGCCAGCTACAGACAAGCCAGAAAACAGCAGTCTCCCTGCCAACAGGGTCTGGGCCTGAGCATGACTCAGGTCCCCCTGATTTCTGATGCCAAGTCCACTAGCTCAGCCTGGGAAGCAACATCAACTATTTTTAACAATGTGGGAGGGAAGAGGAAGTGCTGGTTCCGATAACTCACTGACTTGTCTTTAAAAAGCTCTTGGAAGCTCACCCATTTGGCAATGAGAAATGAATGGAACTTGGAACCAGAGAAAATGGAAAATATTGTGTACTGAACTTTGCAAAATGAGCACAGAGGAAAAAAAATTTTTTTAATGAATTGTACCTTTCACTTAAGAACCCTGCAAATATTCAGAGTCTACCCATGATTTTCGAAACAATTTCCATGGCCGCTCAACACTTTTGCATCAACCAATAGGAGGGCACAGGCCCCACAAGATCACAAGAAAAGCCAAGGTCAAGTCCTTCCAGCAGTCACCCTACTCCAACTCTGTGGTTAGACCAGGGCCAAGGGTCACCCTGGAGCAGATGGGAGGTGGTCCATGAGGCGTGGCATTGGCCAGGCACCCTGGAATTTACAAATCACTTCAACCAACCACACACACTTGCTCTCTGAAAACAGCCAGATCTGTCTTCTAATGACAGTCAATAGAAACACCTGTCAGAAAACAGAACCTCAGATTGATTACTCTCCAGTTTCTACCACAAATTAGAAGTTAAGAAAGCTAAAACCAAGCATTAATGAACTCAGATATCAAAGTCTTACAACGCAAGAAAAAAAAAATCACTATGAGGAAACAAGGTAAAATTACCAACTTTTAATTTTTTTCCAAGTAAAGACATTAAAAATATATTACTGTGCTTTCATTTAAAGAAAAAGAGAGTGGAACTGTGCAGGGAATTTAATGGTATTTATTACAACATTATCCTATCATATGCAAGGACCCAAGTTCAATCCCCAACAATGAGAAAGAAGGAAATGTTAAAATACTGTTTGAAGAAATACATAACAAAAAAGGAAGGCCTTTATATCAGAATAAATTATTTTTTGAAGTGATTTTATGTAAAGTTTGAGAAAGTCACTACATTAAGTCTGTCTTTATTGTTTTTAATTCACTGGGTACAGAACTGGAACAATGTGTCACAGACCGGGCAGAGCAGACCTGCACTTAGGGACCACGTAGCCTGGCAGGTCTATTTATCATCCCAGTTCACCTTCCCCCTTAGTATTTTCAGTATCATTACACCACTGGAAGGTCACAAGGTCCAGAGTGAGTACAGACATTTTTACCTAGCATAGATTTCTTCTTGTATGAGACAGGACGATCATACAGTGATCTCTGGATATCGGAGTACTTAGAAACCTCTTTCCTTTCCAGCATGGGGACATACTGGGTGGCATCAGCCTGCTTCATGTCCATGTAGTCGCCATTGTTTTCGAAAGATAAAATCACATAGCTGTAAAAGCAGATAAGGAGATTTTACCTGGGGTAACCTCTAGAGCAGTTGCTGAGTAGGTAGCACAACAAAGGATGATTTGGAAACTCACAGTTTACCAGGTATTAAGGCAGGCACAGGGGCTCCAGGTGAACAAAAATAAAACCATTGTAGGCCAGCGAGATAGCTCAGCAGTCTAAAGCATGCCTGCTTAGGCAAGCTTAGGAAAGCACACAGGGACTGTGGTTCAATCCCAGCCACCACAAGCCATGCCAGCCTTGTCCCCAGAGCAGGCTGAGCCACCCACAAAACAAACAAAAACAAAAACAAAACATTGTGTGCCCCTCATATGGGGGTGCTGAGGCAGGGCACATTAATCACACAACCACACAAATGCACAGGTCATCTCAAACTCAGCATCCTAAGAAGTAAGATAGGGGATGAACCCCATCTACAAAGATGGGAAAGATTGGGGGCCTGCCCCTTAGCTCAGTTCTTTAAGTCAGGCTCAGGTTGCTGTGGTTCGATCCCCATACCTCAAGCCAGCCAAACCTGCCCTGAAGGCATTCGGAGCAAAAAAAAAAATCCTTATTCTTGCCTGGCAAGCGCAAGGATCTGAATTCAATCCCTGGTTCTGAAAAAAAAAAAAAAAAAAAAAAAGATGGGAAAGACTGAGAATATTTGGGCTCCACATCGTCAGCTGCCCTGATTCTTCTTACATATGTCTACTTCTCTAGGCACATTTAAGGCTACAGACACCTTGACGAGCCACACGTAATATAGGGGAACATGTTCCCATCAACTTAGAAAGCATTATGTCCACTACATTTGAAATTTGAAAAATTCTTGACATTGTCTTATATTCTTCCTCTGTTTCTCAATTCATAAGTCATGAACCTGAACCACTGTGACCATGGGGCCTGGGCAGGTGATTCCCAATAATCAATTTAGGGCAGATGATTCCTGATAATCAATTTAGCAACTATTTGGTATCCATTAAAGGAGTAATAGCAATTCATTGTATTTTCTGTCCTTAGAGAACTTCACATCTACAGAGATCTCTGCCCATAGGCATCTGTGGGTGGGCCACTACCACTGGCTTGATTTACCAGCCCTCCTTCTTCAAGTACAAGTAGCTCAAGCTTGAAGAGCCGCATTCAATTTCTTATAAGAGGACCAACATCAGCCAGGCATGGTGAGGCAATTCTGTGATTACAGCACTTGGGAGGCTGAGACAGGAGGATCATTGTGAGTTAGAGGCCAGCCTGTGCTACATAGGGAGACACTGTCTCAAACAGAACAAAACAAAACTAACAAAAAACAAGTGGACCTGAATCTTACATATAAACAGTGAATGGTGCCCAGGATGACTGACCCTAACAGCAAGGCCTTCTCACGAGATGTCCTGGTACAAACCACCTGCAGCCATCGCGATCCATCAGCACCACCATGGAGACAAGGCAGGCTAGCTGGACGCCATCTGCTACCTCAAGTACTGAATCTGTAGGCATGGGGTCTATCGGGACATGAGTCCTCTCTACTTGTGAGGCTCATAAAAGAACAACACAGCAATGTCTCTTCGCACTCACCTCCTTGTGCTTTCATCTGTAGGGTTCAGTCCAAAGATGTCCAGTTCTTTCTTGGGCTTCTCAGGGTGTCGGCTCAGGAAGCTATCCCTATTCTTATGCAAATAGTTGACCAAATCCCCATAGAAGCAGTATTCAGTGATGATGTAAATGGGGCCTGTGGAAACCAATGTCAGTTAGAAGATGGGTATGAAAACGAAAAACATAAAGTCATGAATTTGTTCTAATTAGACTTTTGAAACAGGACCTAAATTGCTCAGGCTAGAGTGGAATTTGTGAACCTTTCACCTCAGCCTCTCAGAGTGCTGAGATTCCACCAAGCCCGGTTCTGTGAATTGTTCTGTTTGGACCTGCAAGAGATCTCGCTCAAAAACAGTTCCTTTCCACCGTCAGTGGGACCAGTGGACCCTGCTGAGACTCACGTTCACTGGTGGGGCTGGGCGTAGAGAGGGCAATCTGAGTCCCTTGGACAGCGTCCCCAGCCTCCCACCCCCCAGGCCAGGAGCCTACCTGACTTGGTACAGGCTCCCAGCAAGTTCACAATGTTTAAATGTGGCCCCAGGTGAGTCATTATCTTCAGTTCAGACATGAGAGCTTGTTTTTCACTGGATCTGGCCGTGGCTGTGGGAGAAATAAATCGTGTATCAGTGCAGCCAAAGCACTTCCCGTTCTGTGAAAGCTGGCACCGTGGCTAATCCTGTGATCTGATATCATTTCATTTACCAAGAGTCTAAAAGAGGAGCAGATGGTCCGCTCAGTCTACGTAGACTGTAATGACTAGTTTGCAGTCTTGGGGGAGGAGGAGGAAGAGGTCACTAGAGATAACTCCTGATTTTCCAATGTATGAATGCGTGAAAAGAGGAATCAAAATAAACCTGGCATAAAACCCAGAGTCAAAAGAACCAGGATCTAATTTTAAACTTGCTATCTATAAGCTTTGCACTTCTCGATTCTGAAACATTCACTTAGCGTCTCGGACCCGAGCAGCCCCGCCCCACGCAGCACTTACGTTTGAGCATCTTCACCGCCACCTTCATAACAGGCTGCGAGCGGCTGAGCCCGTATGCTGTTCCCTCCACCACCTTGCCAAAGGCCCCGGATCCCAGGATGCGACCTGCGGGCAGGCAGAACCGTCAACACACGCCCGCTCCCAGCACCGCCCGCTCCCAGCACCGCCCGCTCCCAGCACCGCCCGCTCCCAGCACCGCCCGCTCCCAGCACCGCCCGCTCCCAGCCCCAGGATCACCGCAGCTTCCGGGCCAGCGCGTCCGGTGTACGCTGGGTGGGTGCTTTTCCTGCATGGGACAAGCCTAATTATTTCTCCCAGCCATCGAGTCAGAAAAAGTATTGATCCCACAGAGAAGGCAATCAGCATAATTGCTTTTGTCAAATAACACTGCTGATGGAAAGGAAAGAACAGATGGGAGAGAAGGGTGCAGTCCTGGCACGAACAGCTCGGCGCTGGCTGGCCCCGGGACCCTCCACTTGCCACCGTGGCTCCCACCCAAGGCCCCGGTTCTCTACCCTTCTCTTCACCACAAGCACACAGAGGCAACATTTGCATCAGTACACCTTTAGCCACTGGAAATGCTTCAGCGTTCCAGATTTCACTGGTTCCAAGGAGTACTCAGGAAAAAGCCTCGGGCTGAGCTCATTGATGCCTATTATCTGCTAGGAAGGCCATGGAAGTGGAGGCAAAGCACGCCAGGAGTGCAGGCTTTTGCTGCACGTGAGAGAGACAGAGAAAAGCCATTGTCACCACATTTAAAGATTGATGAGGGGCCAGGCATGGTGGCTCAGGTCTGTAATCCCAGAACTCAGGAGGCAGAGATAGGAGGAGTACTGTCAGTTGAAGCCTAGCCTAGGCTACAAAGTGAGACTCTGTCTCAAAAAAAAAAAAAAAAAAAAAAATCAATGAAGGACCTGTCCAGGGTGCCACGGACAGCCCAGCCATGGAAGGACTCTGCTCAACTCTTAAAGACATGAAGAGCAGACACTGTCCTTTCCACCTGTGTGCACTCCTGGAAATCACACCTGGAAAGGTATTGTATCACCAGAAGCAGAGAGCCAGAGCAAGGCCCATGGCACAGCTGGGCTTGTCCTAGCTACTTTCTATGTCACTGCGATACAACACCCACTACACACAATGAAAAGGAGGAGAGGTTTATTTTTGGCTCCAGGTTTATACAGACTGTCCACAGTTAGCTGGCTCCAAGGCAGGGCAGCACAGCAGAGGGGCACAATGGGGAGGGGCCTCACAGCATAGCAGCAGGACGGCCCAGGGATATGGCGCCTGCCTGGCAAGTACAGGTTCCTGAGTTTGATTCCCAGTACAAAAAACAAAAACAGAAGAAGAAGAAGAAGAAGCTATAGCCGTAGGAAGCAGAAAGCAAACTCATTCAAGGAAGAGGGAGGGACACAGAGCCTTCCAGCCCATACCTCCAGGGACCCCTCCTCCTGCTGAGCTCACCTCCCAGCATCCATCTCAGTGGTCAGTCTGGTGAACGAACCAGTATTACACCCTCATGAGTGTTATGCCCCACAAACCACTCGTCTCTCAAAAATGCCATCTGTGATCACACGAGGGTTAGAGGGACAGCTAGATATAAACCACAGCATTCTCCACCTGGCCCCCAAAAGACTCATGCACATCTCTTTATGCAACATGCATTAAGTCCATCTCTAAGAGTTGCCACAAAATCCTAACCATTCTGGACTTGCTGAAAAGACGAATTCTTAGCTGTAAGACCTTGCACAAGGCACACGGCAAATACTCCCATTCCACAGGAGAAAACAGGAAGATACAAAGGGATGGGACCTGAGCAAGATGAAAACACAGCAAGGCAAATGTTCAAAAGGCTGGATGAAATACACCCAGATCATAGTTTTATGAGACAATTTACTTTCACATTATGCTAGTCAGCTGTGCATCACCATAGCTGCACAGGCAAGTACAGGAGGTGACCTTTGCGTTTGATCACTTGTGTGACAAGGTAAGAATTAGCAGCAGGTGAATTTTACCCATCGTATGCTCCATGTTACATTTTTATGCACTTATAATTTGTATCATCCTATGTTTTGTTTTGATTTTTCTCAGGTAATTAGCCCAATTCAGGACAAAGTCATGTGAAAGCTCACTTGCACACCAAGGGAGGAGGTTGAAAGCAAGTCATCGGGTGACTTGGCCACCAGTGACATACCTACATGTGGTTCTGACAGTCTGGCAATTCTCCTCCCGGATAAAGGTTTGAAAGAAATGAAAGCATACACTCTACAAAGACAGCTCAGCTGGTAGAGCAGAGGACTATAGCTTTGGCAAAGACCTGTTCTAGAATATTCTCAGCAGCTGTACTTGTGATAGGCAAGAACTGGAAACAGCTCTAGATATCCAACAACAGAAGGACTAAATATACTGTGAGGTATTTATGTAATAGAATCTACCCACTATAGATACCCCTAAGATATAGATAAATTTCAAAATATTGTACCGAATGAAAGAAACCTTGGGGGCCAGGGAGATGGCTCAGTGGAATAAGCGTTTCCCTGGCAAGTACAAGGGCCTAAATTCAATCCCCAGTTCTGCCAAAAAGAAGAAAGAAAGAAAGAAAGAAAGAAAGAAAGAAAGAAAGAAAGAAAGAAAGAAAGAAAGAAAGAAAGAAAGCAAGCTTATGAAAAAGGAGGACATACTGTATGATTCCACCTCCTTGTTTTTAGGTTTCTTTGCTCCTTTTGCAGATAGGTTCATGGTTACTCCACAGAAGAGAATCTGGCTAAGAGCCAGGGCTGAGCACCCAGTTACTATAACCACTACCATGACTAATTACTGAAGGGCCCAGCACTTCCATTTCTGTAGATGAGAAAACTGGGCCTCAGGCAGAGCATATGACTTGCCTGTGGCTATATAAAAATTAAGTGCTTTCGCTGGGTCTATCTCTCCCTACAGACTATATTCCTCCTAGAATAGTACATGGTGTCTCCCCCAAGCATTCTCTTGTCAAGAGCAATGAGAATAGAGGGGGAATACATCAGAGAAAGTAAACTAAAGCCTTGAAAATCTTTTTTCAGGTAGAGATTATCTCTTCTCTCCCCCTACCCCTGAGCTACATCCCCAACCTTTTTTTATTATGAGATAGAATCTCACTGAGTTGCCTAGGCTGTCCTTGAACTTGCAAATCTCTTGCCTCAGCCTCCCAAATAGCTGAGATTCTAGGCATGTGCACCTCTGCCCCTGCTTTGTAACAAGATTTTGAAGAAAGGTCTGAGGGCCCGTGGTGAACTTTTTAGTAGATTATTACTACGTGGGACAAGATGCAAACTGCATTACAGATTATTTTTATGACATGGTTCATAGAAGTCAAAGAAGTTATGACTGTGAAGCAGAGAAAGAAATGACAGAGAAGTGGAGAATGAAGATCTTGATTCAGATGAGAAGAAAAACAGTAATGGAAATAAATACTCTACAAGTCAAAATGCTGCGAAATGGTTGTAGTAGAAGTAAGCAGGAAAATGTTCTTAGGTTCTTGCCAGGAGTGAAACCAACTAGAGAATGCCAGCACTGCAAGTCAATATTGGAAATGGTTTGTAATGGACAAACTGGGAAGGGAATTGATAAAAGATCAATTACAATAGAGGAAGAAGAAGACATATCTGCCCGAGGGACTCCACAAAGGAATCCTGGAGCAGACCAGCAAACAGACAGGTAAAACATCTCAAGGACTTCCTAAAAAAATAGCAGGACCGGTGACATGTCAAATATGCCCTGCAAAAAAAAAAGATAGGGAAACAAACTATATGTGCTATCACTACAAGTGACACTTGTGTATGGAAAATGCTGGGGGGAGGGGAGGGGTTTTTTTGTTTTTGTGGCTGGCTCAGCCCACCCTGGGGGTGGGGCTGGCGGGGCATGTGGTGCTGAGGATGGAGCCCTGGTCCCTGCGTACTTGCCTAAGCTTGCCTAAGCAAGCACTCCAGATCGCTGAGCTATCTCGCCGGCCCCAACATGCTGTTTTTAAGTGTGAAGACTGCCTTAGGTGTGTCATAATTGAAGTAAAGATTATTTTTGCCATAGTTTTGTTTTTATTTTCATCATAGCTCACATAAGAATTTACTTATGCTGGGGCTGGAGAGATGGCTCAGTGGTCTAAAGCACCTACTTAGAACAAGCTTGGCAAGGCATCAGGGACCGCGGTTCAATCCCCCAGCACCACAT